GATGGGCAGAGAAGGTGTTCCGTTATTTGTATAGGAAGAGCGTGGACACACAGTGGAGAAAAAGAACTAGAAGACTCACTAGTAATATACGGCTGGTATTGTGAGCCATATGTCAACAAAGAGCGTTAAAGGAAAAGTCAGGGAGGCGGAGAGGATTTACTGGATGGCAGCTATGGAGAAAAAACCGGCTTTGAGTAACTACCGAAAGGGCAAAAATGAAATAAGGAGGGAGGCATTTTACGATAATTCAAGGGGAAGCGCTTTACTGTTTGAAGCGAGATCGGGCTGCCTTAGAACGCGTAGTTATAAAGCAAGATTCAGTAAAGAAGAAGAACAATGCACATGCTGCGGGAAAGGTAAGGAAACGGCGGAGCATGTTCTGATTGAATGTGGAGATATCCACCCAGGTGTACGTTTGGGCACGAGCCTACAGGAAGCCTTGGGTTTTAGGGACAACAATGGAAAGCTGAACACACCCGCGATTGAAATAAGTAAGAGACGGTTAGAGTATTGGTGGCAGAAAATTAGAGAGAAAGGACAAAAATAAATATTGGAAAATAAAATATGGACAGTGTGCCGTAAATGGCAGAGAACTTAAGCTGAAAATTTACCTTTTTTCCATTAAGATAGAATTTATGGAAGTAGAGGCATTAGGCCAACATAAAAAAAAGAAAAAAGGTTTTTTTTTTTTCGAGCCTGGTGGCATACTTGTCACCACCCCGTTATAAAGGGGACGCTCATAGCATCCATCCATCCATCCTTGCGACTGACACTATCCGGCCCAGATGGCATTCCAATAATGACATTAGGTCCGAAGTCTAAGTAGCCTTTGAGAGACGCAGTGAGCAAACTCATAATAGATCGTGAACTTCTCGATGGATGGAAACTTAGCAGGATGAGCATGATCTATAAAGGAAAAGGGGACAAAGCTGACATAAACAACTACCGTCCTATAGCAGTGACATCAGTGGTCTACAGGCTGGCGATGCAGATTATAAACGAAAGACTGCAGGCATGGATAGAGGATGAGGGGATGCTGGGGGAACTGCAGAATGGGTTTCGGAAACACAGGAGGTTGGAAGACAATCTGTTCTCACTGACGCAGTGCATCGAAATATCAGAAAAGGAACACAGGACCCTGTGGCTAGCATTTTTGGATATCAAGGGAGCGTACGATAGCATGGTTCAAGATTAATTGTGGGGAATACTGGACACACTAGGCGCGGAACATGTAGTCACTAAACTTTTAAAGGATATCTATAAAGGTAACAAGGTAGTTTTAAAGTAGAACAAACAGGCATCCAAGCCTGCAGAGGTCAAACGGGGGCTTAGGCAGGGGTGCCCCCTGTCACCCTTATTATTCATGATGTACCTACAAGGATTAGAGGCAAAATTAGAGGGAAGTGGACTGGGCTTCAACCTCTCTTTAGTCAAACAAGGAAAACTTATTGATCAGGCACTACCAGCATTAATGTACGCAGATGATATAGTGCTAATGGCCAACAACAAGCAAGATTTGCAGAGATTGATGGACATCTGCGGTAATGAGGGAGATAGGTTAGATTTTAGATTCAGTAAGGAAAAATCAGCAGTCATGATTCTCAATGACAATGAAAGTAGTGAGCTTAGAATACAGGAGGTCACGCTAGAGATAACAGATAAATACAAATATCTGGGCGTATGGATAAGCAATGGGACCGAGTATCTGAGGGAACACGAAATATACGTGACGACTAAAGGTAACAGAAATGCAGCAGTCATGAAAAATAGGGCACTGTGGAATTACAATAGGTATGATGTTGTGAGAGGAATATGGAAAGGGGTCATGGTTCCTGGGCTGACGTTCGGCAATGCGGTCTTGTGCATGAGATCAGAAGTTCAAGCAAGATTAGAAATTAAGCAACGTGGAATAGGTAGGCTTGCTTTAGGAGCTCACGGGAATACACCAAATCAGGGAGTACAAGGTGATATGAGATGGACATCATTTAAGGGCAGGGAAGCTAGCAGCAAGATAAAATTTGAGAAGCGATTGAGAGAAATGGGGGAAGAGCGTTGGGCTAGGAATGTTTTCAGCTACTTGTACATGACGAATGTTGATACAAAATGGAGGAAGCGAACCAGGAAATTGACTGGTAAATACTTAGAAAACAGCAGGTGGCCAAACCAAAAAGAACTATCGGTTAAGAAGAAAGTGAAGGAAACGGAGACTGACATGTGGAGAATGGGCATGATTAAGAAGTCCGCACTAGAGATCTATCACACCTTTAAGCAGGAAATTACCAAGGAAAGGATCTATGATAATACTCGGGGTTGTTCTCTACTGTTTGAGGCCATGACGGGAGTACTGCGAACCATGACATATCGGGCCAAATACGAAGGGGTAGACACAGTATGCAGTGCGTGTGGAGAGGAAGAAGAAACTGCCGAACATTTGATAATGTTCTGTAAAGGGCTTCACCCTATAGTTCAGGATGATGGCGCAGAGTTTTTTAAAGCACTGGGGTTTAGGGGCAAGGAGGGCAAAATAGACTTTAAGCGGGTAGAATTAACTAGAAGGAGGTTATCTGATTGGTGGCTAAAGTCAAGGCACGAGTGAAAATTAAACCCTTCACTGCAAAGTACGAATCCTCAACCTCAATATTTAAGGGGAAAAAAATAAATCTAGTTATTGGTTCATTAAGTATTACGGCTTAGTGGCGCTAGCCACCGCCCAATCTAAAGGGTACAGCCATATTCATCCATCCATCCATTCATCCATCATCACGGCGACGGGCGGTACCAGCTAAGCGTTTGTCATCTACGGCTCATAGGGGCGCGTCAGTCGAGAGTTGTTCGAGACCTGCAACTGTGCATCACTGTTGCGCAGGCTATGCAAAGTGTTGCGTTGTTGCACCGTCCGCCACAGGTGACGCTAGTGACCAAGAACATTTTAAAATGAAAGAGGGGAAGGGGGTGGCAGTTGTTTTTCTGCTCATGCGGCAGGCATCTTCCTAGAGGAGGCATTGCATACACTGGCAGGTGCGCCACGCTGCGTTGCTTTGACGCATGCGCCTTTGAGCGCACACGGCGTCCCTCCGTCACGAAGAAAGGCAGACGCGGTGCTGTCTAAGTAACATCGTCGGCGCGAAATCCAGCTTGTCGCATTTCGCGTCGATTTCCACCGGGCCTCACCGACGGACGCCGGTTGCGCCTGGCGTCACACTATAGAGTGCTCGCATTTTGCTAGTGTGGCGTCGCTGCGCCCAGCCTGCGCGTGCGTCAACGTTGCGTCGCAGTATATTGGCCCATATTGGACGCACTTGCCGCCGTTGCGCTAGCTCCACATGTACAAAATTTGGTATCACGGGAAGTGAGTAGATGACGAATGTAAATGACACGTCCAAACCTGATAATCATAATATGCGTTTCATGTAAAACAGGACTACATGCTACGCTCATAGCGTTTTCGCGGCCGTTTCACTAGTTCCACATATACCGAATTTGGTATCACGTGGCGTGCATGGACGATGAATGTGAATGACATGTCTAAATATGATAATCATGATATAGACTTCATGTAAAACATGACTACAAGCTACGCTCATAGAACTCTCGCGGCCGTTTCGCTAGCTCAATATATACCGAAGTTGGTACCAGGTTACGTTAATAGATGACGAAGGTAAGTGAAACGTCCAAACATGATAATCATGAGATGGATGTCATGTACGGCACAATTTACCTCCGAATTATATTGTTGTGCTGATTTTAAAGTGACCATCAGCCTTCTTCATTTGTGCTTCGCATATCATCGATTCCCACTGTAGGTGGGATCGCCAATTTTTTTAGCTTTTTTTTTCTAAAGAGGCGATGAAAGCCGCGACGCTTCTTATTTTTCTTTGGAAGCCTTGTTTTTTCAGTCGTGTTCATCTCTCTTCAATGATTACTTATCGCGTCAGCAAAGCAAGTCGGTGTTCACGCTGCGATGATACTACGAATGAGTTCATCTCTGCTTGCGACGAAGAAGCAGAAGCAGTTTTCGTTAAGCGAGACAATGGATATTCTTCGGCAACTGGAAGACAAAAAGCAGGCTGTTGTGACCAAAGAACCGGATCGCACCACAGCAATGTGGATGAGCTGGAGGCCTTCGCGCTGCAAAATTTGTGTTTCTCGCGTCAAAAAAAAAAAAATACAGTCTTCTTTAAAGTAAACGTGGATATTTGGGTGTTTACTTGTGCATTTGTCTTTTTCTCCTGAAAACGAGTTCAAGGACCCACCGTTGTAAAGGTAAGTCGTTTTGGTCGGTGAAAAATAAGTATTTATGGTTCATTTTCGAGCTTTCACTATAACAACCTTTCAAAATAACGAACAACTTTTCACGGTGCCCTGAAGTTCGTTATACAGAAATTTCACTGTACTGTCGCTGCAACTGGCAGTTTTTAATAACAAATAAGGCTATTGAAGTCTGATGCAGTGAAGATTCTTAGCTGTCCTTTCGAACCATGAAATACTGCCTTATTAAAAAGCGAAAGGCTGATTTGGTATCTGTTGATTTGCCGTGCCGAAATTTAAAGGGCGAAGGGTCATGGCTCACTGGAGCATGCCGAGTGCATGGGCAGAGAAGTAGCAAACGACAAAGGGCAAGCACCGCCTTGATGAACCAATGCGCATGTGTCGCATTCCGAAATCTCGCCAGCAGCTAAAGCTACGCGGACCGCCGGTGACGCACACGGATGTTCGCTTAATAGTGGAACGTACTGTACAGGAAAGGACATGTAGCGGTCACTACCACACCCGTCCGGACTACAGTGACCCTAGGGACTTGAACGTTCCACCAAGCAACTACAGATTTTTCTGCGACCTACCACGACTTAAAGCCCCTTGATCCAAGCAGTTGCGCCATCTATGGGTATATCTGGGAACCAAGGCTGTGAATGCTGGGCGTGACAGGTCATCTGTCGTCAAACCCAGCGTTACAACAGCTCCATCATAAAAAAACACGGAAAATAAAAAGAAAGCAGCAACTGGTAAGAACTGTCGCTTTTATTGCAGCGCTAAGGACCACAGGCGGGGCTAAAACCAAAGGTTGTGGCGAAGATGAAGGCGCTGCTACCATCCAAAGAGATACTCGAGCGCTCGTGATGCCACCGTCGTGTCCCGTCGCGGCGTGGGAATCTCCGGTAGCGTCACCTGGCGCCTGCTGGCAGACGCTCGGTAGGCCTGCACCAGCGGCCGGGCCTCGATGCCAGACACATTCTCCTTGGACGAAGACACCTGGTCTGGCTGATCGGGCGACATGCAGGCCTTGACACCAACCATGGTGTGGGCCCCGAAAACCTTGCCGTTCTTGCTGAGCGCCTTCTTGGCCTGCAGCCGCGACTGGTAGCACAGGTGCATCCAGTTTCCCTCAGAGCTCACCTGAACCACGAAACATAAGAAAGAAAAACCTTACAGCTTCGTTCGATGTGCGAAACATTGAAGGTGATGGCACCGAAGCTGCCATGCAACCGCCATCATGAACTGATGTCGTTACAAGTGCTACACAAAAGTTTGATCTCTTAAATGCTCGTTCAAACATAAGAAAGTTAACACAAATCCCAAAGTTGTGTTTTAATATGCTGAAAGTTTCAGCTTATGTAGTTGAGCCATCCCACCATATCACTTACTGATAAGGTTACGACTAATATTGCATCGCTAGGATGTTGATTAGCAGCGCACCCAGGCGAGCAAGAAGCTACCAAAAGCATTCTGTCAAGCAAAATAACTGCGAGCTCATGCCAATGATGATATCGCTGAGGCACTAGCTACTACACTGAATTTGCCTTCCGCAAAAAGAGGCACAACCTTGACAACCTACCGAGTCTTGATGCGATTTCAAGTGACAGGTGTGGACATGTTCGCGGCCGTGATGGTATATTCCTGTCAATGGCGTGAGGAACTCCACAAAGCAAATAATACCAATAATTGTTAGTGTTCAATGTCTCGAAAACTCGGTATGATTATGAGGAATGTCGGAGCAGTGGGTTCCGAAAACTTTGACTGCTGGGTGTTCTTTAACATACAGCCAAATTAGGTAAACAGGAGTCAAGCATTTTCTCTTCTATCAAAAATCCGACCATCATAGCCGAGATACAATCTCACAGCTCAGCATTTGGGCACCATAACCGCCATAACATACACTTGATTATCGTGGCGGGCCTCCTTTGACATTTCGCTCCAGAAAATAGAAGGCTCCAAAGAATTTCGAGACAAATTTTGCGGAGAAGCTGGAATAGCAGGTATACATGAAGTCAGATAAATAAGTTTGGAAAAAAAGAAAGCTAATACAGAACAATCCTGAGGCTGAAATGATAGCTGCTGCCATTCCTTTTCAGCGGAAAAGGAGCGAGGAAGATGGCGGCACTCCTCGGCATGTCGAGCAGTCTCAAACAAAGAAGTTCTTTAAGAATCAGACGTACCATGAGGTTCTTGCCAACATAGATGTACACAACATAGCTAGTGCCACAATACTGTAAGTCTATAGACAACAAAAGAAAGTGCTCGGTCCCAATCGCAGTGATTACAGTGATAATGTATCACCATGAAAGAGTGCTTTCGAAGCGCTCAGTCGGGCCATTAGTTTCCAAGCGGTACACCGCACTTTTGCGGTAAACGATTCAACATTCGTCAAGCGATGCATGCCTTTAAAGCATCAGAAGTGAAGGTAAGCCTCTATGGCTCAGGAGAAGTACCATGATGCAGAACGAATAACCATAACGAAATTGGTGCAAAGTCACATGCACTGGCCGTCAGAAGGGCGGCTGCTTAAGCATAGCAAGTCAAGTGAAGTGGCCTGCTACAATAATCATCCAATAATCACCTGCTGAAGAGGATGGTATTCATTACTATGTTATGCCAATTGCAGCACTATAAAAGAATTCGCCAGGGCAGGAAAGGTGCTGCGACAGAAGAGTTGTTTGAAATGCACAAATTTTTGGCACTGGGCACAAAAGCGTGTGAACTTTTGCACAAGAAGATACACACTTTCGGCTGATAAAATCAGATGTAGTAAAGTGTAGGTCTTGAAGAGGTCGACGTGCCCACTTAGTGCGTTTGAAGGTAAAGCTTTGCATACAACATCACAGACATGGCAGAGTATGAGCAACAATAAGACGGGTTGTTGCGGTGACAAGGGTGCCTACTGCAAATACAAAAAAGGGTAGCCTGGCTGCAAAGAGTACAAGATAGTTGCAATCAGACCAGTAAAGAATGTGGATGTCATTTTTTTTATAGTTTAAAGGTCCAGCGAGCAAGTCAGTCAGATGGGTCCTTACAGGTTGACAACTAACGAAGGGCATGGTCATCAGTGACAGGGTTGCCACTGACTTTCGAGTGAAATTCGCGAAAGGACAAACGAAAAGTCCCCTTTTTTTTTCAAATTTGGCCAAAAGAGTCACCACTCTAAATATGTGCAGCATGCCTGGTAATAAAAATTGCTAATTATGTACAGCCCCATGGAGTACAGTACCACCCATAACCCATAATTATATTGATGTCTTTCAATGCCAGTCGAATCACACGATTCACCATGTGGGGCTTAGTGGGCTTGGAGACACAACACCCACTTCAACATGAAAGCACTGAGAAAGGACATTCTTGCACCAGCAGCACCTTGGACCTAGGGGAACCCCTCAAGGATCGGTCATTTCGCCGCTAATTTTTAATATCGCGATGAGGAAACTCTCGCTCGAACTCTCTCGTATCGACCGCATCGGACATGCGCTGTATGCGGACGATATTACTATATGGTGCACTGGGGGTAGGGACGGAGACGTTGAGGAGTCCCTCCAGCAGGCCCTCAGGTGCACGGAAGAGTTTTTGGATAGCACGGGGCTGCATTTGTCGACCACCAAGTCGGAGCTCCTCCTGTACACACAGCCGGAGAAACGCAAGTTCACCACTATTCCATTTCCGCCGGAAGAGATCAGGATCGAAATTCACACACGGTCAGGGCAGGCCATCCCCCGTGTCGATAAAATTCGGATATTAGGCATGTTCCTGGAGGAGCACGGAAGTAACTCTCATACTCTGACTCGTATTGCGGCAAAGGTGGAGAGCATGGTCAAGCTTATACTTCGGGTGTCTAACAGGCGTGGAGGGCTTTGTGAGGCCAACCTCATGAGGCTTTTCCATGCCTTTCTTATGAGTCACATTAATTACATTGCCGCAGCGCATAGGTGGGAAAAGAAAGAACAAGGGAAACTGGATGCGATTATTCCAAAGTGCATTAAGAGGGTCTTGGGCCTTCCAAACAACACAAATGAGGAAAAGCTCAAGGCTCTTGGTATGCATAATACATTTAGTGAGATTGCAGAAGCGCAACAAACAGCACAAGCTGCACGACTGTCCTCTTCCAAAGCTGGGAGACGCATCCTGGAGTTTCTGGGCTGCGAACCAACTTTGGTAGCAGACAAAAAGATACAGCTTCCACCCAAATTGAGGGAGCAGATTACGGTCTCATAAATTCCTAGAAATGTTCACCCTCTCTACAATGTCGGCCGCCGGGCCGCTAGGGCTAGGTCGCTCCTCAGTTCCGCCGCTGCCCCCCCTGAACTTGTGGCGTTCGTTGACGCAGCACAGTATCCCGGCACATCCAATTTCGTGGCTGTGGTCACTGACCTTCACGGTAAAATCCTCACAGCAGCATCTCTTCGAGATACCACGCCGGCTAGGGCAGAGCAGGCTGCTATAGCAATGGCCGTGGCGATTCCCATGCGCACGCGCATTTTCACTGATTCTCGAGCTGCTGCACGAGCGTTCATGACCGGGTCAGTCTGTGAGCAGGCAGCCCATCTTCTTACCAAAAGACCACATTGCACGGAAATCGACGGCCACATCACCTGGTTTCCTGCCCACATGGGCAAGGATGTCCACCCTGTTATCCCCAATGCCAATGAGCTTGCCCATGCCCGAGCACGCGAACTGTCCCACCGTGACGGGCAATCGGCATCTAATTTTGGGGATGGCATCCGGCAGCTTGATTCGCTCCTCACCTTTAACGAAATTTGCAAAAATTATCAATTGGCCAGGCGTAGCTTTCCGCTCCCGCACCCGCAACTCTCTAGGGCCCAGTCAGTCACTTTAAGAATGCTGCAAACGGGTACTTACCCGTCACCTTTAGTGTACAGCAAGTTTATCGACAGCATAAAGCCGCAATGCCCTCATTGCGAAGAGAGACGTTGCACGTTACCCCACATGCTCTGGCAATGCGCGGCGCTGCGCGATGGCGAGCCTCTCAGCACAGAAGCTGCCTGGAAGACGGCAATTACCAGCTCGGACCGAGAGGTCCAAATCCGGGCTGTCCAGAGGGCCCGCACTTTGGCGGAGGGGCTCGCTCTTCCTGTCCCCACGTGGGTGCGGCCCGCAGCCGACCCTCCCTCTTGAGGGGAATCGGCTCCTCAGGACAATTTGTAAATAAAGTTCATTGACTGACTGACTGACCAGCAGCGTCCCTGAATGCTAGCGCCTCATAACAAAAGTTCGTGGTGGTTTCTGTTGTAGTGAATACAGGACGCAGCGATCGCTACAAGAGAGGAGCAGCGTGCGTAGCCTTCTTTCAGATTTAGATAATTCATTGGAGTGGAATCGTGTATGTGATAATCGAACAACCTAATCACAAAACAACAGAAATCAATTCGAAAGTACCAAGCAACCGTCCCAATGCTTGCGCCACACGCTTTCTGTGCGGTCATGCTTACGCTACACACTCGCCTCTGTCCAGTTTCTAAGGCTGCCCCGAGAAGCCTACTTTTTGGCAGTCCCGAAAAGTATGGTAACAATACACTTGAGCTCTACATACCAAACTAAGGGGTACTGCAGCAGTAAAGAAGTCGACAAGCAATTCAGGATAGTTGGAGCCTCACCGTCACCAAGCCACTTCTAAAGCGAAACTTTAAAGAAGCTTAAAGCTGTTAAAGCACCTAAAAAATAAGTTTAACACCATCGCCTCGTGGCACGCGAAGCAGTCCAGCGAAATAAATTTTGTGAGAAGTTGCTGGCGGGCGCAGCAGTGCACCAATGTCTTTGAGATCTAGGTGAATTCAGAAGATACGAGAAACAGGACAGTCCTACTGAACTGTGTGTGAAATGTGCCTTCCACTGGTGTGTTTAAAACTACAAAAATACAAAAAAATTGTCTCCCAATGGTTTCGAATACATTGAGCTTCCAATGCATAACTCAGCCAACACCCACATGGAAAATCACCAAAGATACGCCACGTCGCCATTCATAAATTTAGGTCGCCACAGGCATCTCAAATAGGCCAATTTGGTGAAAAGTATCCACCAGTGGCAACCCTGATCAGTGACTATCTAAAAAGGGTGATCCCCCAACATAGCCGATTTTTTCCAACGGCTCAAATACTAATAGCCAAATAGTCTTTCTCTAATACCTAGTAAATAAGCTTCGGCTTCAGTCAGGGCGCTGCTCACATAGGCAATGACATATTCATCAAACACCTATTTATGTAGTATAAGTATAGTGCCAACTACGATGCCACTGGCAATGACATAAACATTGGTAGGGCTGTTAATTTGTCCTACAAATTATAAACACATATTGCTCATGAAACTATTCCTCTTCTAGTTGGGGAATAGCTATGTGTTAGTAAAGAAGAAATTATGGTGAAGCGGGCAGTGCCTGCTGGTTGATTGATTGATATGTGGGGTTTAACGTCCCAAAACCACCACATGATTATGAGAGACACCGTAGTGGAGGGCTCCGGAAATTTAGACCACCTGGGGTTCTTTAACGTGCACCCAAATCTGAGCACACGGGCCTACAACATTTCCACCTCCATCAGAAATGCAGCCGCCGCAGCCGGGATTCGAACCCACGACCTGCGGGTCAGCAGCCGAGTACCACTAGACCACCGCGGCGGGGCCAGTGCCTGCTGGTGCACTTTTGCTTATATATTTCTAGGATAACACCTGCTACTTTGCAAGGACCTCAATGAGATATGAGGGAAAGTGCACAGCCCATTTTCACTTATTCCATAACAATCTAATACACAGGTGAAGTTATGTAACAGAGTTTTAAGCATGGAACAATTCCAGCTGTAGATAAAGATATCTAGTTGAAAGAGCTGGTCTAGCATAACATTAAGGGGAATGTGCTTGACAGATATGCACAGTAAGTGATAATAACACACTGAATGCACACAACACTGTGCCAACAATGGATGGCAACTTTGAGTTTTCAGTGCCTTATTGTTCAGCCAAATGTAGATTTCAATGTCTGAACGAGGCCACTGTTACAAATTCAGATGAACCTGGGTGTACAATGATGCACTGACGCAGCTTGAGGATCGGTTAAGTTTATGGGTTTTATGTCAAAAATTGCTTATGCTCCAACGCTGCTGTAGTGGTGGGGTTTACAAAATTTTAACCACCTGGGGTCCTTTAACGCGCACCGACATCACACAGTAATAGGCCTCTGGCATTTCATCTCTATCGAAACGAGACTGCCGCTGCTGGAACCAAATCTACATCTTTCAGGTGAGCAGGCGAGCACTATAACTTTGCTACCGCAGTGGCCGTGAGCTTGCGAATCGTTTGCTTTTAAATATAGGCCTGCACCAGAACGTACACACCAGCAAACAAGCAGCGTGCTACAACCAGCCTTCCAATATTCAAACGAAAAGCTACATACATTTACCCACAACAACATGAGCCACTTTGCAGTCATCGCCAAGCCAGTAGTGAATTCGTTTTCTGGGCACTCACCTTGTACTTCACGATGGTGCCATACTGGGAAAACTGCTGCAGAAAATACGAACTAGCAGATGGTGGAAACCTGCAAACATTTGGACCAAGTGAGCATGTGGTCTTTCTCTATTTTTGTTCTTCCAATGTAGAAAAGAAAATGACCAAATTTAGATTCATCCCTGCAACCTGCGGCCACTACAATTCCAACTTAATCTAATGGGTTTTAAACTGTACGAAAGAACTCCCAATAGATGACAACTAAACTACATCATATCTAGCATTCTTTCAAAAGACCTAACCAGACACTTCAAACGTTTGCTTTTAAAACAATGAACACAGCACATCATGACATACAGGCATCGCAAGAAAAGAATTCTGGCCATCTACCCTCCAACTCATTTACATAAGCACTTCATAAATTTTGCTAAAACTTCCCTATTGAAAAAACCAGCATCACTGGGTACCAGCGTCCAGTACGATGCCTGATTATGGGCCCAGTATCGCGCTGGTACTGGAACGCTGGAGTGGCAGCGTCTTAGTACCAGCGCTGGGTACTCTGCGCAAAATGGCTTCACAGGGTTAAAATGAGGGGTTCCCATTCGTCATAAATAAATAGATATAGAAGTAAAAGAAGCAATTTTGCAAACATTCACAATAAAGACATCAAAAAAAAAATTAATCACCCCACGACAAGATTCGAACTTGTCACCTTCGTATTCCAATACGAATACTCTACCCACTAAGCTACGCCAGAACATGTTGGTTGGATTGTAAAATGACGATTATTTCTAAGATCACGCCGTTCAACTTCATTCTTACAAGTTGCACAGTCAAGATTGACGCGATCTTCCCTTCCAAATAACAAGTGCGTCTTGATTGGACAGTGGCGAACGACTTCGGGGCGCTGAATGACGTGCGGATGTTGGCAAGAGCGCAAAGTTTTTCAAAGAATCTACATCTTGACTTTGAAAAATCTCAAATTGACTGAAGGAGCAGCCACAGATTGTCAGCTGTTGCTGCCGATATTTTTTTTCCTTCGATAGCCACCTCTCGCACTTGCTATTGGTAAACATGTACAGATGATTTAAAACAAATTGTTCGGAAAATATGCACCCACACGATTTAATATTGAGTATTTTTTTCGCACAAGCGACGATATAGCAGTATACATCCGGCGTGCCAATGTACAGATTTCGTAGTCATATTAATACCTGCAACTGAGAAACCGACGAAGAACATACTAATGCAATCCGCTGAAAAAGGAGACGCTGCGAGCGCCGACGAGTGCAGACGCGCTTCACGTCGGCTGCTGCTTTTATGAACAACTTTGCAGTGAAAATCACCACGTGCGTTTCTCAGAGTGATATCAGAAGATTCGCCTGGTCATCCAGATTCTCAGGATACCAAAGACAAGGTGGGCCAACTGTTTTTCGTCTTTTTATGGCCTTTTCTCGGTGCACACCACACGAGACGCTGTTAAGGGGAGATGCTACTCGAAAAACGATTTTCTTTAATAAGAGTCTGAATTTAACACAAATTGGCATGCTAATAGAGTTTTTTCTTCTATTTTCAATTATGTCATTTCTCGGTTTTCTTTCTGCAGGTCAGATACTGCAAAATTATAACCATTGTTATGCAACAATTCTGACCTATAAAAATTTGAGATAAAGCATGCAGATATAGCTGACTATGATCCTTTGGAACTGTAGAGTGTAAAAAACTATATAAATTTTGTGTGTAAAAAGGTGAAATACAATAATAAAATAGAAAAATTTACTATGGCTCTAGTTGCAAGGGCTTTCAATGTTATGTAATTTTTGAAAAACATAATCAAGCAGCACTGACAATCTGAATAGATACTTGCACTCTATGAGCCCTCATCATGCTATGTGCAAAATTTCATAGAGGTATGACAATTCTAAGTATACGAACTAGCGTGTATAAGAAGCACAGATCACACAAAACTGCAAAAGGAGAAAAACGCATTTGAAAGTTTGAAACCTTTTTTTTTTTTTTATCACAGAGTTGTTAGAAATGCATAATCTTTGGCCATAATGTGCAACAGAACTTTGAAAAGCACTGCAAGTTACTAGAACTGTCCTGCAGCATAGGTTGTGCCCTCACGGTCCTTGCGAGTACTCTCTCTAGCCGTGCCCTTTTAACTCCACGACGACGGTGGGCCCTTGCTTCTGCTGTCAGATGCTCGGACATTCTCTTGATGCGCCTCGCATCACGGGAATCACTGAAAGTAACTAGATCTCTAGATGGCAGTATGTTGAGCTCTTCTAGGATGTGCTCAAAAGTAGCATGACCCTTGTTGAACCACAGGATTGCCATAGCTGCGGCAGTCACGACAACCGCTCGGGAGACAAACTTAGTCTTGGGGCAAAGTAGCCAAATTTTGCAGTTCAGGGATTCCGATGCGTTCTGGGTTTTCCCTTTGATGCATCGAGCAAGGAGCTTCTCATCCGTTAGCCGCTTATAAATGGGCAAAACAGCCACTCCCTGTGCTTTTGTCAGAAGAGGTGTGTGGCGTGGTGCAGGTTCACCAAGTGCTTCACCGCGTTGATGTTTGCACCACGACTCTGTTCCTGCAGGGCAAAACTTGAGGCTGCCAGCATTGTCAGTAGAGCATGAGTGGAAGTACGAAGCCCATACTGCAGTGTACATATCCCGTACACTCCCCCTGTTGCTTGTTATGGCAATCTGATAGTATGTTTGGAGCTTCTGAATGGCTGGCTCTTTCATTTTCTGCCCTCGTGATAATGGCACATGCAGCTTCCGTAGCGCGGTGCGAAGTCTCTTGGCCACATGATTAGTGCAGTCTTCTTTTTCTATATTGACAGCACCATAAACTTTTGACTCTGCAACTGCACTATATGCTTTGCTGTCACCGTCACTCAAGAATGTGATGAAATGCAGTGGGGAGTCATAAGTCAATGTTCTCTGCCAAATGCGCATTGCAGCCTCCGTTTCCATGGCATGGGAGGAACAGTCTGCATTTTTTTCACAGACTGGGCCATGGAATGCCTGCCACACTTCCTCGTCTGGGCCCATATCCTTGTGCCTACTGCATGTCAGGCAGTAATTTGATATGACCTCGAAGTCTAAGCAGAGGCCAGAATCTAAGGAGATAACTGCGCCAATCTCGTTGTGGCTTTTGTGGCCCCTCTTCTGCCAAGTGCCGTCGAACATAACAGCCACATCAGTTTCGCCTGCTACTTCTTTCGTCAACTCTCTGGATCGGGGCAAGTTTTCACTCACGGCTGCCATGGCAGCGGTGTGCACCTTCTTTGCTATCGAAAAAAATCTTCGGTGGTGCATTGGTTTTGGGAGTCCAATAATGGAGCAAAATCTCGACAATTGCTCATGCCGAATGCCGACAGTGCGTGCAGCCACCACCGCCTTCACATTTACAGCGAAACTATCTCGGGAGCTCCCACTGTTGTACCGTTGGCTCACTCGGCTGCTGCCGTCCGCCGTAACACGCAGTGACGTATAGGAGCACGAAAGAACAGTCGCTGAGCATTCGCTGTTTTCGCAATGAAGTTCGAGGAGCGACGAAAGTCCCTTGCGCTTTTCTGCCGGCTCCCGTACGGCAAGTTTTTGAATACCGCAAGCAGGGCATACCGCACCTGCCACAAGTGCCGTCAGCAAGAGGGTGTCGCACAAAACTGTCGTTGCACAAACCTCATCCCGCTGTCTTTCGTCTTTTTCGAAGAAGCCGAGCTTCTTTTCCGAAGCACTGACGAAAGAAAGCGCAGCGTCAATCTCTTCATCGCAGCCACTGTCGCTCGTGCACTCGTCGATGCCGCCGTCAGGCCTAGCACACGTAGGCGCGTTCTCGTTCGTCGCCGTCGTTCGGGGCGCTTTACGCCACCTTCCCTTGAACTTCTGCTTCGTTCGAAACTTCTGCAATCTTACGTTGCACTTTTTCGGGCTTGTCATCGCGGAAATATGCGTAGACGCGCAGAAAAGCAGACAGACCAAATGCCGATGGCCGCCACCAACACAGCTGACAATGACTCGGTAGCCAATGGCGATGCGGCTTAGGGTGCCGCGCGTTTCAAACCGCTCAAACCACGTGATAAAAAGGCCTCGTTTTTCTTTTTTTTTGGCTCACGTACGAAACTGGCGGTCGTCGGAGCTGTAAAAAGAAGGCCGGACGCAACTTTCCCAACCGATCGCGATGGCGGGCGGCACTGCGACGGGGAGCAGCGGGCAGTTATGGTGGCTAGAAGGGGGAGGTGGGAGCATCGCGTGCTGCGGAGGTTGGCGGAGAGGGTGTCAGTTGTTCATGCCGACGAGCGGTGGCGCGCGTGTCGTTTTTTAGATGCCCCTCTGGGCCGAAGCGGAGCACATGCGTTTCCGCGGCTTGCGTTCGTACTGTTCGCACGATGCTCGAAGTTTTGAAGCCTCTTCACACTGCATATCGTGATGGCTAAACCAGTGAAGCGCCAGACTCACTGCTTCGCGCCCGGATGCTCTACCGGGTACGTTTCAGCCCGAAAGGCAGGTGTAAAAAGGTCTGTTTTTACCGTACCGAACGATGAGGACCGGCTGAAAGCATGGCAGTGGTACGTTCCACGTGGTGACAAACTGCTCGACCGAACTGCACTCCTGTGCGAGTTACACTTCGAGCAACAGTTTATTGTGAGATATTACACCCTCATCGTGAATGGTGAAGTTGTGAAGATTCCTCGCGGCCGCCCATGCCTTACCGACGATGCAATACCATCGATCTTCCCAAACACGCCGAGTTATCTCTCTAAAAAGCTTCCTCAGAAGCGCAGCTCTCGTACATCGAGAGGAGAAGTGCTCGGCAAAAAAAGAAAAGTGAACGATGAAAACGAACTTCCTTCGATGGAGCGCGATTCTTCCTTAGATGTGACAACGAACGGTGAACGTGTTCCCGGCGCGTCGTGTACAGTGGAAAAACTGGAGCATATGAAAGGTGAGAAGCTTCCAAGCAAATACTGGTCGATGTGCTTACTTGCGGATGCCCCGAACGCTGTTGCGTTTACTGTTTGTGCTCAAGATGGTGATAGTGTGTGCTTCAAGAAACTGGTGTTGTGCTCTGCTGAGGAT